TCTCATTTTCAGGTACTCAGCCCTCTAATCTTATTCAACAAATTAACTCGGATAAACGAATGATTCGTATCAATTTTTTTGTTTTATAAAACAATGAGAAAATAAATCAGTACCGAAAATCGAAGACCGTTTAGTATTTAATTTTTTCATCAAATTAACGCGGATATGTGAACAATTTGTATCAATCTTTTTTTCTTTTATAAGAGAAATCAAAGACTAAATCAGTATCGAAAACCGGATATTGATCAATACTATAAATCAGCATTAGAAAGTTGTCCAAGTGCAATGACAAGTTGTTTTCATCTTGCAGGTATTTACCCCACTAATTTACTCAACAAATTAAGTCGGATAAAAGAGCGATTCGTATCAATTTTTCTTCTCTTATAAAGAAATTGGCGAATCAGTCAGTACTGAAAATTGAAGACCGATCAATATTTAATTTATTCATCAAATTAACGCGTATAAATGAACGATTTGTATGAATTTTTTTTTCGTATAGAGAAATGAAAGAGTAAATCAGTACCAAAAATCGAATATTGATCAATACCGTAAATCAGTGTCAGAAAATTGTCCAAGTGCAATGACAATTTGTTCTCATTTTTCAGGTACTTACCCCTCTAATATTATTCAATAAATTAAGTCGGATAAAAGAGCGATTCGTATCAATTTTTCTTGTCTTATAAAGAAATGAGAGAATAAATCAGTACCGAAAATTGAAGACCGATCAATAATTAATTTATTCATCAAATTAACGCGGATAAATGAACGAGTCGTATCAATTTTTTTTTCTTGTAGAGGAATGAAAGAGTAAATCAGTACCGAAAATCGAAGACTGATCAATACCATAAATCAATGTCAAGAAAATTGTCCAAGTGCAATGACAAGTTGTTTTCATCTTGCAGGTACTTACCCCACTAATTTACTCGACAAATTAAGTCGGATAAAGGAAAGATTCGTATCAATTTTTATTCTCTTATAAAGAAATTAGAGAATCAGTCAGTACCGAAAATTGAAAACCGGTCAATATTTAATTTATTCATCAAATTAACGCGGATAAATGAACGAAACGTATGAATTTTTTTTTCTTATAGAGAAATGAAAGAGTAAATCAATACCGAAAATCGAATATCGATCAATACCGTAAATCAGTGTCAGAAAATTGTCCAAGTGCAATGACAATTTGTTCTCATTTTTCAGGTACTTACCCCTCTAATATTATTCAATAAATTAAGTCGGATATAAGAGCGATTCGTATCAATTTTTCTTGTCTTATAAAGAAATGAGAGAATAAATCAGTACCCAAAATTGAAGACCGATCAATATTTAATTTATTCATCAAATTAACGCGGATAAATGAACGAGTCGTATCAATTTTTTTTTCTTGTAGAGGAATGAAAGAGTAAATCAGTACCGAAAATCGAAGACTGATCAATACCATAAATCAATGTCAAGAAAATTGTCCAAGTGCAATGACAAGTTGTTTTCATCTTGCAGGTACTTACCCCACTAATTTACTCAACAAATTAAGTCGGATAAAGGAATGATTCGTATCAATTTTTATTCTCTTATAAAGAAATTAGAGAATCAGTCAGTACCGAAAATTGAAGACCGATCAATATTTAATTTATTCATCAAATTAACGCGGATAAATGAACGAATCGTATGAATTTCTTTTTCTTATAGAGAAATGAAAGAGTAAATCAGTACCGAAAATCGAATATCGATCAATATCGTAAATCAGTGTCAGAAAATTGTCCAAGTACAATGACAATTTGTTCTCATCTTTCAAGTATTTATCCCTCTAATTTACTCAACAAATTAACTCGAATAAACGAATGATTCGTATCAATTTTTCTTGTCTTATAAAGAAATGAGAGAATAAATCAGTACCGAAAATTGAAGACCGATCAATATTTAATTTATTCATCAAATTAACACGGATAAATGAACGAGTCGTATCAATTTTTTTTTCTTGTAGAGGAATGAAAGAGTAAATCAGTACTGAAAATCGAATATCGATCAATACCAGAAATCAGTGTCAGAAGATTGTCCAAGTGCAATGACAATTCGTTCTCATTCCCGAGTCTTTCCCGAGTCGAAATATTAATTCTACATTGATCCTGCAAATTGCATCCAATTTGAAAAATCAATGCAGAATATCTAGATGCGCAATAGTGAACAAGCTTTGTCCTACCTGAACGTTACATCTGGCTACTCTCGCAGTCTCGCCCATGATGAGTCTTCAACAGCGACGTATTCCGCAGTTATTTAATACTCGTTTATTTCGGTAATGTATATGTATTTAATCCTTATATTCTTAATTTAAATGAGCAATTTTTGTTAATATTGATTATATATTCGCTTAACAGCGCAAGAAAGAGAACAAAGATAAAAATAGACGTAAATAGAACTGCCTTTGTTAGAACTGCGCGTGAGGTAGATATATAAGGATTAAATAATGATATTAGAATTAGAGGAAATGGGAGATGAAAAACGCTTTTTATTCTCATCATTCTTAAAGTTCTCTTTTCCTTTTTTCTTCTCTTTTTTTCTTTTCTTTTTTCTAATGAGAATGATGAGAATTGTAGCTCTCAAAAGAGCTGAAGCTGCAAAAAGATAAAGGTTATGTCTAATAATGCTGTTTCACTAATAGAGATTTTAATTCAGATTCGGTACAATAAGAAAGATAAACAAGAATGAGAAACGGACATTCTAGCAGATTCTAAACGAAAACAGCAATCTGAACATTATTAGACGAATAAAAATCAACACTTGTAAAATTTATTTCAAATTCTAAGATCATTATTCATAGTTTTTTTAAATCATGTGCAATTTTTCATTGAAAATATAATTACAAATTTGTATTGATAAACCTTAGCTTGCCTCAGCAACCTTGCTTGAATAGACATTCATATTTTATGAGAAAAGAAAAGTACAACTCATGTTACGTGAAATTAGGTTAACGAATAATCAAATCTCAAGCTATTTTATCATTTTTCAGATGATAAACCATGAATGCTGATCTAATTTCGACTCGGGTATGTCCTTACTTCGAGTAAGGTCCGTTAAAATCAGAAAAATAATAATGCGTAATAATAATAACTCGAGGTACCTCGAATACTATACATGATATATCGCTGTCCTCGGCTACGTCTCTCGGCGCGCTCCAAGTCCTCTCTCCATCCTGACTTCTCGATCCGACATCCTCCTTCCGGTTACTCGTCGCAGCACCCTCGGATACTCCATTGTAGCACTGGCGACGACACTGACTCTAGCTCTAACACTCGCGCAAGTAAAATTCGGGGACAAAGAAACGCGTATTAACCGATACTCGTTCTACTCTGCGTCGCGGTATGCGCGTCGTTCGTCGGTCCGAAGCGCAATGTCCTTTCCGCAATCACGGAGTCATATATAAGCGTACGAAAACAAACAATCGGGAAGGCACGCTTACCCCCCACCAGTCGCTGACCTTGGCGATCAGTGTTGATGCCTGCGTCGTCCGTTAGCTGAAAATGAAAACATCTCGTGTTTTCAAAGCATGCCTGTGAGAGACTCGCTTCAAACTTCACAATACTTATTTACGTCTGTTCCAAGAATCATATTACGCCGAATTCAAACTGTCTCTATTTTGACATGACATACACGAGATCTGCGATCGCATTATTGATCTTTCTTTGGACAAGAAAATCCTGAGAGGAACGCTGTTCGAGAATATCACATTTTATGTTTCAGGTGCCTTGCAGATTATCGAATCCGATGTAACAGATCAGGGAAAGTATGAATGCGTCGCTATGAATAACACGCGTGGGCACGGAGTACTCCAAGTCAATCACGTTATACGTGAAACGTACGTATATTTAATATTATATAAAACTTATCTTTTTAAACAAAAAGGTAAAAAAAGGCGCCAAGTACAAGCGCAACACGTATTGTGTTATTTTTAGAAGTATCAAACTCAAATAATTTTTTATTGTATTGTACATATGTGTACATAAGTTTTTACAAGTAAAACTTATAACTATAATAAAACACTTTTCTGGAACACTTTTCTACTGTACAAAAGAAGTGATATATTAGAACAGTAGCGCCAACTGAGAAACCTAACATAACATAACTAAAACTTGTTTAATACATAAATGACAGCATTTTTATTATAATAAAATGTTCTTGTAAATTCTCTTTATACATATACGGTATAATGTTTTATTTAAGTTTATATAGTATTATAATAAATAAATTATAAACCTTCATTATAGAATATATTATAATAAAAATACTGTCATATATGCATTAAACAAGTTTTAGTTCGATATAGTTTTTGGTGCAGCCGCGCCAAGATTCTTTGTATTAAATATTTTTTATTGCATTGTTATAATAATTAATTTGTTACAATAACAAGTAAAATAACCATATAACTGAGAGTTCTAATAAATAATGATAAATTTTACTTGTAAAAATTTATGTTATGGACATTTTTTGTCGCTAGGTTTTCTTGAATATTTTGAATAACATTTTAAAAAGATATTTTTTTTTAAATATTGGACACTATTAACAAACGTGTTGAATTGTTATAACACGATATATAATTACTTTTAAAAGTTTATGCACATATATATCTTACAAAAAAAAAATAATTTGGTAAGTTTTACTTATAAAAACTTATGTTATGTACATAATATTTAAAAGGATATTTTTTTTAAATATTGGACACTATTAACAAACGTGTTAAATTTTTAAAACTCGCATGGAATGAAATTCCACTCTTTAACGCTACCATGACCTTTAATTATTCCCCGTAAATGGCGTCACAACAACTTTGATACTCTGTACAATTAGTCGCTAACACATTTTATTGCACGCTTTGCCGTTGTCGTTACGACGAGCGTAGTGTGCACACATTTTCTCAGATGGCGCGTCAGAAAAAGCATCACGGCGTAACCGGCCCGGTGGCCGGTCTGAGGTTTCTCTCTGGCTTGGCTAAAAGCGGCCAATGACTACTCTCCTTCTCTCTGCTATGGAATAATCAAAGTGAAAAAACATCATATTATAATTGAATTTGTTAGATAAATATAGATAAACGATGTTAAAATAATCGGAATATTATTTATCGTCATTTGTTTTGTAGATATCCACTTAAATGATCATTATTTTTTTATGAGAAGTTCTAAATAAATTTAAAGTGATTACCAACACAATACAATCCTTTGACAAGCATTTAATTGTACGAGGACCTGCGGAAGGAATCAATTAAAGAACATTATGTGCCTGCCAAGTATCTCGGGTATTCCAGATAAACATTGGCAACCACCTTTCGTTACTTTTGAAACGACGTGAGTATCTTGCACTTTTTACCTTAAGAACTACTTATTACACATCATTAATTAATTCTGATGCTTAGGATGGGTGAAATAACTTTGGAGCTGTACTGGAAACATGCTCCAATCACATGTAGAAACTTTGCTGAACTCACAAGACGTGGATACTATAATGGTACAAAATTTCACAGAATCATCCGTGACTTTATGATTCAAGGTGATTTATATGAAATGAATAGCATAAGAAAGCTGTTCTTATCGAGGAAAATATTTTGTCATTTTGTGTACAGGTGGAGATCCCACAGGGACTGGAAAAGGTGGAATGTCCATATATGGCGAATGTTTTGATGATGAGATACATGATGATTTAAAACACACAGGTGATCCTTTATCATATTTTAATAACAGTCTGTTAAAAGTATTGCTTTGATATATTATAATATACAGAAGAAAAGTATAAGTATATTGAAAAAAAATATATTTTATTTTCATTTGTATAGCATTAAAATTTGTGTAGGTGCTGGAGTATTATCAATGGCAAATACAGGGCCAGATACAAATGGATCACAATTTTTTATCACATTAGCACCTACTCAATGGCTTGATGGGAAGCACACTATATTTGGTAAGCTGTGATGAATAAGAATAATATAAAATTTAATTAACAACTGTGATGTATTTTTATCTTTATTTGATAGGTCGAGTTTATTCTGGTATGGCAATAGTAAAAAGGATTGGATTAGTTGAAACTGATAAGAATGATCGACCAGTAGATGATGTCAAAGTTGTAAAAGGTTCTGTGAAAAACACGTGATTCTTACAAAAGAAAATTCTTTGTAAGATGTGAATTGTACTTTGTATATTTTTCTTAAATATATATTGGAAAATAATTTTATGACTTGTAATTTACGACTTGACTATAAAGTTAAACTTGGTTTAAAATAAGCAGCATGCAAATTTCTGTAGTTTTAAAAAATTTACTTGGCTATATTTGATTGCACAAAATGTGGAATATATTATGTGCAAGATACGTTTACTGTAAGATAGAATGATATTTATTCACAAGATTACTTATGAAATACTTATGAAACTTACTTATTATGAAATACTTATGAACACTTATGAAATTATGAAATGGCATTTAATAAAAACTGGAAAGTTGAGTTTATTTGGTGGAAATTAAGATTTTATTGTAGGTATCAGTTGTAGATAATATTCTCTTGTATACACTCGTATCACTAGTAGGTATCAATATCTACTGTTAGTCGTTCTTCGTGAATCATATACAATAATATATGTATAAACTTTTACCGTAGCCATTTGGTAAACGCGTTACTATTTCGAAAAAAATTCTCTATTTTGATATTTATATATTAGAGATCTATAGATTTTTGCGGAAAAGTCATATGTATAGGAATCATTACACTTTCCCCATTTAAACAACTTTTATTACAAAACGGTAAGAATTTATTAAATATATATGTACACAATCACACACACATACACATGCACATATGTTCCTGATAATTAGGACAGCAATGTTGCTTTAATTAGGTAATACAAGAACAATTCAACAATGTTTCATTACCTGATAAAGTGGAGAATGCTGCTTGATGTTTTATCGACAAATAGTTATCGGAAATTTATAACAGCGTGTACTTTTCTCCGTATGAAACGCCTGACAAACGCTCGAAATCTATCTCGCTACCAACACCAACTTACTCGCGCCAGAATCGGCTGAACGATAATAAAAGATTGGTCCCAAAATGTCTTATGTTACGTTACGATCTCTCACAAGAGCAAATGGAACAATATTCGAACGCAGTTCGGATGAGCTAATGATTGCGAAGTAATAGTGAAATATAACAACGATTAATCATTGTATATAGGAACAGGATTATTAATAACTTACAAAATATTGGCATTGCGTGCAAAGCCTTTTGTGAATTTTCCCTTAAAAGTCATATAATTTAACATACAGTCTACATGCAATTACGTATGTTCAATATCTCTATTTCAATTAAATAATTATCATACAACATGTTGATTTAGACCGTGGCATTCAGTACGTCAATAAATAAATTAATACGCGTGCTATGCGCTATAATATCTAACGATTGTTTCGCAGCTCTGAAGTATATTTACGATCGTAACGGCATACTCGTATATATAAATTATATATTTCTATAAACATTCTATATAAAATATATTTGTATATTAAAACAATACGCCTCATACTTAAATAATATTAAATAGTGCACGTAGTAACGATGTATATATATATATATATATATATATATATATAAATGTTCATATATGTATATATATTAAAAAAAAGGTATATAATTAAAATCTATTTCAGATATTTACATTTGGCAGGTACATGGAAGCGTGCGCTTCTGGTATTACAATATAATTTTCATAAAATAGGAAGACAGGAATATATTAATTTACCATATATATTATCATTAAATATTAAATATATATGTATCAAATGTAAGTAAAACTTTTGTAAACAAAATAATAGCTACAAACATGGAAATATATTATCTTAGAGAAAAACAACCATTTCACTTTATATGATAATAATTTAAAATATTAACGAGGAATAAATATCTGAATACTTTAATTATGACGATCGCCCCCCCCCTCCCCTCCCTCGTCGAGATGAATTTATTAAAAACAAAACCCTCAAGTTCTTTCTGAATATTTTTTTCTGACGAGTTTTTTCTGATATCATCTAAAACGTACAAGTTTTCTGTAAGTTTCATCATGCGTTATTTGCAAATAACAGTACAATTGTCCAGTTTGCGCAAAGTTTAACTCGTGCGTGTACAATCACTTTTGGTTGTTTATCAGTAATAAAAGGTGACGATACATCAGTTGCGCTGTGAACTATCTTCAACTGACTGCAATAGAGTCACGGCTTTGAGCAATATAGCATAAAGTGAAAACAATAACAATTATTGTCATAACAACTGTAACATCAGAAATGTATATAGGACATTAATACCTTTTTGGCAAGATATCATTATTTCCCTTATTTATTTACACGTTTACCGTTCTTCTACATTATCATTTCGTTATCGTATTGTCCATCATGTAGATAGACGATAGCAAAAAATTCGGGATAGAAGATATGTGCAGAAAGAGAAAGGTAGAAAGAGATAGGAAGGAAACATTAAATATATACCAGCATATACGTGTATCGACTACTTACTTAATTTTTAAATTTGCGTGATTTCTTTGCCTTACGAACTAATATTGCACTTCCGGCCGACGATGCACCTACACCTACATGTCGTTGCAACAATTATAGTAATTTCGATCACGTTCCTCGTTGAGACAACTCGCGAACGGAGACTCGAGCGTTCGTTTCATCTAAACGTAAATTGCAAATGTTTTATCAATATTAGAATGCGGCTCTATATTTCGCATGTTTTCTTTAGTATATACTAATGTAAGTAATAATAAATATAAATAAATAAATATATAATAGAGATGCATATGCTATCAGGATGTTATGAATGTACATGTACGAGTTCTTTTTATCAAGATTATATGCAAAGCCTCTATGTATGTAACATACTTACTTTAACAACATGTTAATATAAAAAATATTCAAGATGTGTGTCACGTCACACAGACACACAGATGCATATAGACTCATTTGTCACTCTCGTGAAGTGAGGAAAAAGGATATAGTCGTTATTAATTACCCGCTTAATGAACTTCTCAGCGCGTAGCGCTTCGTATTTAATCGTAATATTAATCGTAATATTAATCAAACTAATCGCGAGATATGTTAAGTGGTAAGTTACTTCTTTCCCCTTATACTGGCTTCGAAATTTTCTTAGAAAAATATATAGGATTTACACGACGTGCCTGTTCGTTGGAAAAGTTTACACTTCTGATAAAATTGTCATTCAATTTCAGTCCTTCAAGATTTATCCTCGAAAGCGTAACAGCACCGCCAACCGGTGAGCAAAAGTGCATTTCTTTCTTTTTTTTGTCGCAACGAATACCAATCACAAATCATCGATATCGGATATTCTATCTACCGTACAATGGCAAATCCTTTTTGATTTCCGCTTATGTTCTAAAAGAAGCACTTTGCGTTAATTCTCTACCGTTAATACGACGCGAACACATATTGGTTGTCGTCGTACGAACGACTGAACGTATAATAACCGATATAATGTCGGAACGTCCAGAACTTTGAGCAGAGTAATTAATTTTGAGATAGCGAAATGTCGTAAACTCAGAGATGGCGAGCATAAATGTTCCGAATTAAGTGCAAATACATGTTTCCTCTCGTTTTGATTTAAGTTTGGAGTTACAAACGCGCGATTATTCGGGACGAGAGACAGAACGCGAGCAGGGGAAATAATCCGGAGGAAGATTCGAATGCAGGAAGATCCTACGTTCTGAGTTTCCTTTCGCGACTTTTTAACATTCGCATGAGTAACAACAACTTACAGCCACCATGAGCAGCCGTAACGAAACGACGAGAAACAAGCCGTCTTCTTTCTCTCTCTCTCTCTCTCTCTCTCTCTCTCTCTCTCTCTCTCTCTCTCTCTCTCACGCCACTAAATTACGGCAGCGATTGCCGCAGGGCGGCAACACGGTGACCAAGCTCTCGGTCTCGCTGTCGCTGTTGCTGAAGTTGCTTCTCTCTGGGAAGACGGCAGATGCCGGCTGATAGTACGACGTTGCCCTCGCGCCGAGGTCGAGGCCCGAGTCGGCGCTCTTGGAGATCTCGGAGAGCCTGCGGAAATTGCCGAAGAACACGCTGTCGGTGCCGATGCTCTCGGCGCCGCTCTCGCTGGCGCCGTCGCACACCGACTCGGTCTCGTCGGTCTCGGACACGCTGCTCACCTCGTGCCTCAGCAGCCGTTTGTGCGAGCCGTTGCTGTCGGTGCTACTGAGGTAGCCGCTATCCTCGACCTTCGCACCCCGCCGCCGCCGATTATCCGCGGCCGCCATCAGCGGCAGCATCGCGTTGTCGGCGGAGTCGCAGCCTCGTGAGCCTCCCTTCACCGACTGCCGCGTCCTGGAGCAGCCCTGCGCCTTGCCGTAGCCCGCGCTCTTCTTCTGGCACTCTTGCCTGTCCAGACCAGGGACGACCGCGCGGCCATGAGCGTCGTCGATCAGCCTGTCCTCGTCTTCCCGCTGATGACCGACGTTGCCCCACGACGACCGCGTCTTGACGGAGCTCCTGTGCGAGGCATTCCCGGCGACAGGTCGCTTCTCCCGCACGACCCTCGACGACGCGTCCTCCTCAGCGTCCTCGACGTCCCTGTAGAAGCCGATCTCGATCCGCGTCTCGCACGGGCAGTCCCTGCAGCCGTTGCTCACCGTACGCTCGGAAGTGGTCCTCTCGTGGGAGAGCGTCGCGCCGCTCTTGGCGACGACGTCCACGTGCTGCTGGCGCTCGTGGTAGAGGTCATACTTGGCCGAACACGGCGACTCCACGGCGCGAGAGTGCTCGCCGCAGAGACAGCTCCCGTTCCCTACATGATGGTATCCGTCGTTCGGGACAGGAGCGCCGTTGCTGGCCGTAGGGTCACCCGCTTCGACAGGACTCCTGTCCCACGCGTTTTTTGCCGGCGACGCCGGCCGCTTCGCGTCGTCGTCGACGCGCCTCGGCGGCTTCGGTCGCTGGTAGATCTCCTCCTCCGTAGGCGGTGGCGGCACCACGTCCGGCCGATTGTACGGCTGCCGTTGTCTTTTCGCTTGCCTGCTGTCCGGAGTCAGGTAGCGGCATTTCTTCCACGAGAGCGTGTTCTCCTCGGGCCCGCCGCTCGTCACTGTCGTCGTCGTCGCCGCCGTCGCCGGCGAGCGCGAGTCCCTCTGGCTCGACCTGATCTTCGCCTCGTAGATCTCGCGCAGGCTACCGCCTCCTCCGTGGGCGCGCTGAGACCTGCGTTGCGCGGAGTTGTCGTCGCGGAAGCTGCCCTTGCTCCTCAGCAAGATCTGCGCTGGCCTCTCCAACGAGTCCACGTAGATCTCGTTGGCCTCGATCTCCCGCTCTCCGTACTGCACGTCCTCGTTGATGCGCAACTTCATCGGCTTCCTGTCCAACGTGTCGGGCTCGTACTCGGACTCGTCGAGCTTCACGTAGTTCTCCGGCGAGTCCTGCACTTTGATCGTCAAGTGGCCCGGGTTCTCCGGCTCGTACTGGATCTCCGGGCCGGACGAGTCGCTGCAGGCCGGGCTAGCGGGTCGGCTGGTGTAGCCGTCGTTCACGTAGACTTCGCTCACCAGCGAGTACATCTCGGACCTCTGCGTCACCAGCTCCGGCAGGCTGTTGTAGTAGTTCTTCTCGAGCAGGATCTGCTGGTCGAGCTTCGACATGGTCATCTCGCCGGTGCGCGTGTTGATGACGGCGTTCTGCATCGTCAGCTCCTCGTCCATCGGCAACGCCGTCGACAGCGCCGGACTCGACTGGTCCGTCGACTCCGGCGACGTCGACGATTTCCTGCTGCACTTGGAGCGCTCCAGACTGTCGACCTCGTAGTCAGCGATCGCCGGCGAAGCCCGGCTGTGCTGGTCCAACGCCTTCACGTCCACCATCTCGCGTATCACCGCGTCCATGATGCGCTTGGCCGTGTTCTTCGCGCCCGGCAGCTCGTTGATCATGTCCGGCAGCTCCTTCTTCGTCAACGACGGCGCGCTCGGCGCCTTCGGCTTCTTCGACCTCTTCGGCGCCGAGTTCGTCGGCTGAGTCGTTTGGATCTTCTCCGGCGTGTCCTCCGTTTCCTTCGTTTCCGGCTGCTTCTTCTCTCGCGTCTCCTCCTCACTCTCGCTCTTGCTGTTCTTGTTGTCGTCCTTCGCGGTGTCGCGGTCGCGGTCCTTCTCTTTCTCCATGGCTGCGCTCTCCTCCATCTGCTTGATGAATGAGTTCTCGATGGCCTTGCGCACTTTTGCGTTGATGGCGTCATCGCCAGCGAATTGGTACGTCGACCTGTCTTTCTTGCCACGGCCGTGACGGTCGTACTCGGATTCCTCGAACATGGACTTGGTCGAGCGTCTGGCCACGCTGTAGCGATCGTCGTTCTCCAGGATCTCGCTCCTGGCGATATTCTGGAAGGTCCTCAGCATCGGCGGGTTCTCCCTCCATGAGGACACGGACTTGCCGGCTAGGCTCGCGCCGTCCGGCTCGGCGAAGTCGCGTCTCGCGAGCTCCTTCAGGTACTCCAGGTTCCTGGCGAACGACTTGGCGTTCTCCTGGAAATTCCTGCGCGTGTCCTCGGCGTCCCTCCAACGGCGTTGCGGCGGGCGGACGTCCTCCAGCCAGGCGCGCACTTTGCTCTCACCGTGGCTGGGCAGGTCGAGCGCGGGCAACGCGGGGAGTTGCAGTCTGGACGAATCGCTGCAGCCGGGGCAGCCGGTGCATCGTTGAGACCGCCGCGACTTCGCAGCCGAGCCTTGGACTGAGCTCGGAGTGGTCCTCTGCTGATGCTTGCTCGACTTGGCCGACTCGCAGCGCTCCGAGCCGCTCTCCTCTTCCGGGATACCTTGCGTCAGATTACAGAGAGGTCATCACGATGACGAGAATCAACACGATTAATAACGCCTCATCGCACGTCGAGTGAAAGGACCTGGACGACCTCTTGTCACTTTCGCGTCGCGTTACCAAACATCGTGAGCAGGCTGCTCCCGCGATCCTGCGATTGCAAGTGCGCATTCGGCGAGTTAGGGAACCCGAGCGAGACGACCCCGCGGCGACCTCGCGGCCATGAAAGTCGACGAGCAAAGAGCGCCATGTATTTGAATTTCTGGGAGAACCGCTTCTTCCTCGAGCTTTCCTCCGGAGACAAATCTTCAGAAAAGTACTATTTTTCTACACAGGCCGCGCAGGATTCTCAGGACAGAATTTTTCTTATTGTACGTACTTCTTGATCCTCATTTTTACGTCTTTCTCAAGGACATCGTGTCAGTGATTTCGGAATTGCGGAATCTCGGAAATATGTTACTTATTTTATTCATTTCTTGTGACATTTTGGAAACAGGAGACCAATACAGAACAGAACAAACGGTAGGAACTTGCGTCTCCAGTCTAGTCCATTTCTGCGATTAATTTTTTGACACGTAGCAATTCGAGAGAAAGAGAAAGAAGATAGAAAACTTCCTCTAATGATTGATAGTAAGTATTATTTCCTCGTGTTTGCGAGGAACACATACTTCGTTACCCTTACGATAAAATTACGTAATCTGGGAAAAATCTGGGAAAAATCTGGATTTCTGCTTATTTTTTCTTGCTCTCGATATTGGCGTAAAAATATCAAAATTTCCATATTTCTCTACTACTATTTCCGAGCTTCCGGAGAAAAACCGTGAAGAACCGTCGGTCTTTCCCCGAAGTTTTCCAGATTTTTAAGCTTTCGGGATGCACACGAGTACGCGAATCTGAGAATATGAAGTCGCGGCCAAACTTTCACGTTTTTCAGCAACTTTTCTATTCCCCGCGAGTGAAAGCACGTATTAATATTATTGCGCGTTCGTTGCTGTGTTTTCCAGGGCAGCGCGGAACCAGGTGCGTCCGTCGAGCGCGGTTTTACCGTTTGCCTCGCGGCGCCGAACGATTCCGCCGCGAGGTGCGTGCACTTACCGATGAGAGTGGGAACGAATCTCTTCGCTGCCATCTTGTGCTTGGCGATGGAGATGACTTCTCGGATTTTGAGCAGGAACTCGATGGCAGCCGGAGGTGGGGCCTAAGAAGATGCCGGGCTGTTTTCAAATTATCTTGTCGCCGGCCGAGCGAACGAGAACGCGCCGCGCCGCGCCGCGCGAACGGGAAAAGTCGCGCGCGCGCGCGCGCGCGAGCTTGCTTCGAGGGTGTCATTAAAACATTCCTACCGCCTCGAAAATGTGAAACTTGCGCGGATGACTCGCGCGAATCGGGAATACCACGCCGGCTCCTTGCGAGGGGCCTCTTCAGCGCGAAGCGCTTACTTACCAGCAGTAACTGTCGATCGAAGTACGCGGGATTGAAGTACAATTTCCTGCGTTGAGCACCTGGGAGAACCGGTACATCCTGCTGATGTGGGTTGTCAGCCGTCTCCACGACGCGTACATCCTCTTCCGGCAGCCTCTCGCCCAGAATAGAACCCGCGGAGAACAGCCCTTCCGATTGTTCCAGATAGACGCAGTGCGGATGCACGATCGCGGATGTAACCTGCTGAAGAGACACGGCGACTCGCCAGGTCGTTCTTCGAGAGAGAGAGAGAGAGAGAGAGAGAGAGAGAGAGAGAGAGAGAGCTCGGCAACGAGGGCTCCGCGAGAACGGGACCGACCGACTTCGGTCGCGCTTGTCGCCGCTGGATTTTGCGATACGATTTCGCCGGTTTCCCCGAGTTTTCCTCCACCGCGGACGCCTCGCCGTTGAGAGGCGCGACGCGACGCGACTTACATACCGAGTGTTTCAACGAGGAAAAGAATTCGCCACGGGGCTACACGGAGACTGAAAGCGACTCGTGGAACTGCGGCACTGCAATTCTAGTGCGTGATGTGCCAAGCGGCGCGGCGTAAAAGTGGGATGCACCTACTGCGCCTACTTGGAATGGCACGGGCTAACGGAGCGCAAAACTAATGCGCTAATTGGATGCATTATTAAACCAGCGCGCGCTGGTCCCAGAATGGCGGGAAGAAGGCTGCTGCGTGCGGACACTCGCTCGGACGATTATCGCGAGTCGCGGGGTACGCGGGGACTTTGTTGGAAAGTTACCAAAATGAACGATTCAACAGGTAGATTCAAAGTATCGGATCAGAAAACGTCCCGTTTGGCTATTTATTGGATATTCGCTGGGGATACTCATCAGCGTGTGTAATCAAGTATTTGAATCGAATTCTTGTTCTCGTCGGTTCCTACTTGAGTCTTGCGGCACGTGAACAGTGCCGCTTTTTTTGTCGTTCTTTTGCTGCGATATTCCACTTTTATTACATCATTTGTTAAAGGATAAAGTTACCAAACACTAATCAAGAGACAAAATAAAATCAAACATTAATCGAAATAATATCAAACATTAATCAAGAAATAAAATAAAACTTCGTCCACAGATCCCTTCGAAAGTGTTTAATTTTGAAATGCCTGGCTGTACTTACGAGTGTCTCTAACAATATATAATATTACACTTACATTTTCGAAGCCCTGCTCGTTGTCGCTCGGGGGTAGATCGTCGCCCAAGTCGCTCTCGGTAAGCCCGCTGTTGGTGTCGCTCTCGAAGTGCCTCGCAGCAGCCAACAACGGATTGTTCTTCACCAACCCGCCGCCGTCCCGACCGCCGTCCAGGGTGACGTTCGCCTCCTCGATGGATTTTCTCTTCGCTTTTCTGCTGTGCAGGTACAACGACACGCTGGCCACGTATATGAGGGCCAGGATCACGGAAGAGAGGCCGATCGCCGTGTATTCCGTGGCTGACAAACCTTGAGAGACTTGCGACGTCGACGCGAACATCACTTCCCGTACGTCTGATATAGGAAGAATGCTTAGTTAAAGCAATGCTTAAAAAATGTACGTTCAGTAATTTGTCAAAAAAATCGCGTGCAAAGTTCAGTCGGTAATAGCACGTTCATCGATTGAACGGAAAAATTAGATTTCATACGTTTTCGTAATTGGTAAACGTAATTTTCACTTGTCGTTAATGGGTGTATTATTAATAGATAATTAATAGATATAATAGATAATTAATAGATAATAAGAATTGCTTGCTATTCTTCATCAATTACAAAAGTATATGAAACATATGAAAAAATATAGGTGGAAATATTTTATGAAGTATTATTGCGCAACGTGAGATTCCTCCCCCGTGATACGTACTATTCTTCGACGGCGAACCGGCCACCCTGAAGGCCACGCAGGGCGTAAAAACCCCGGGATACATCGACTTCGGCGAGGCGTCTCTGCAGACCAGCTTGGCCGTCACGACTCGTCCTTCCGCCGCGTCTCGCAAGCCAGCTTCGCCGATCCACTGTGGTGTGATCGCACGTGAGTAATGAGTCGCGAGAAGGACCTCACCGTGCATTTCTACAAATTCCCCGCAACACGCTCACGCGCGGAAAGCAACAGAGAATACGAGAAAGAGAGAGCGGCGAACGCGTCCCGATTAATTACGCAAATTCCCCGGCGACTGTTCGAACCGCTGGCCCTTCGCGTGCTTCTCGAGTCCGTATCCGCCGATTTGCTTGCAGCGTTCCTCTCGAGCGCCGTCGAGAGGAGCTCCCGTGAGTTAATTACGGTGATTGAGGGCCTTAGAGCTCTCTCGGAGGGCCCCGCTCTGCCACTCGCCACTCGGGCACAGGTGATACACGCGGGCAGCTCCCGGTGAGGGTTTTCGTGAGTCCGCGTCGTAAACCGCGCGTAAATATCATATTTCTCGACGGAGAGCGCGGTAATCGCCGCCGCGATACGACTCCGGCCGACTATACTCCGCGCGCGACTAATTGCGATCTCGCACTCGTATAATAACCGGGCGATAAGTTATCGTCCCTCTTCTCGCTCTTACGTATCACACCGACCTGGAGGAATGTCCTGCCCTCGTCTCGGAACAGTCTGAACGGCGGCTCGGCGTCGGACAGATTCCTCAGTTCGGACCATCCCGCCCTGCCCAATTGCTGGGCACCTGCGATCCCGCACACAGGAGTGGTCACACCTAGTTATACGGCAGATAATTTATGTCCGTGTTAACGGCTCGTATCGGCAGCGAGGGAGACCGCCGGAGCGCGGGATAACGAGCGGAAGCATGCACATCGCCGACGACGGCGGTCCGTCTCCCTCGGGGAAGGCGCGTGGGCACGAATTTCTCGTTGACGAAAGGATAGAGAGCTCAGCTTCACGCTGCCGTGTTATCCCGCTTCTTCTTCATAATGCATGAGAACCGTGAGCGAATATTCATGTCTCACGAGACAAGGTAATGCTGCGGGACCGAGTGTGCTTCGGGATGAAACTTATTCGAGAGTCTACTAAGAGACAAAATTTCCACTTTTTCAGCCGCTTGGCTCATCGATCTCGCTTAAAGGGACCGGAGGGTCAGATTACTGAAAAATCGTGCTTGTCTTTGATAATATTTTGTGACGAACTGAATAAATGTGCAAGAATGAAAGTTTTAGATATATTTACATAACATGTGAAGAGTAGAAAAATTTTGTTTATCAACAAATACTCATGTGATTATACGTCCACT